GGCCCTCCCAAGTTGCTGGGATTGCAAGCGTGAGCCACCGTGCCCGCCCCCGAATGTGTAATTTTTTGAGACACCCAAAGTGCTTCAAAGCAAGCAGGAACAGATCTTAATCCATGAAGAGACAGTCAGGTCTGTCCCTTGAGGTGCCGTGGGCATAGAGGGGCTCAGATGTGTTCCTCTACCTTTGACATAGACACAGATCATCCCCCTACCTCCCCCAAGGATTTAGAGTCACGAAATGTAGCAAGTGAGATACCCCACAGGAGCAGAGATGCAGGTCCCCCTCCGTGTAATGTTGAGAGGCAGTGATATCATTCATTACCTGGCAGTGCAGTGCATATGGTCTCTCCCCTTCACCCAATGTAGTGGAGCTCACATCTGTTTCTCTCCACCCAGGGTAGAATCACTGACCCCCCTCCTGCCCCTAAGTATTAGGGCTGATCTATTAATTTATAGCTATATTGCCTGCCCCCTCCACACACCACCCATGCAGAGAACCAGAGGCCCTATTTCTTTCAGTGTTAGTGTGCTGCTGACTTCAATCAGCATAAAAGATGAAAGTTGTCACAGTCTACTTCCCACAGAAGGGTCCAGAATAACTCACTGCAGGTAAGGTCCAGACCCACTTATTCAAAGCTGCATAGTTGTGGCGTCAGGCATATCGATCCTGCCCCACAGCCCTCTCCAGGGTAAAGAGACCCAGGACCCATCCCCACAATCTAGAGATAAACAGATCTGTGGTTCTTTTCCCATGTAGCAGAAATGCACACAACCACTTTGTGAATTTCCCCAGTTTCTCTGTACCCCAGAGTAGAGGGACAGATGATAATCCCCCCAACCCAAACCACCAAGGTATAGACCCCAGGCATATGCAGGCACAGATTTTTACTCCCTTCTCCAAGATTTTGTACTTATCTCAGTCCATATAGACACGCAGGTAACAATCCCTGTTCTCAGGCCCTCTTTCCCCAGGGTAGACTCCTGGGATCTATTTACCCCCTTCCCCACCGTCTCTCCTAGGTAGATGAGATATAGAATTCCCTACTTGGGAAAAGAGGCACTATTATTGGCCCATATAGAAATGGACCATCCTTGCATGCCCCTTTCCCCTCAGTGTGAAGGGGTTTAGCACTAGTTTCCTACCTAGGGTATAACACTACAGTGTGGAGGAATCAGGACCAAGGCCCCATCTGATGCATTGAGGCACTGACTCCACCCAGGATGAGGTTGAGACCTATCCCTCCCTTTGGGTAGTGTGACACTCTCTTCCCTGTGTGGACTCAGCCATACGAGGCTCTAGCTCCAGCTTCTCCCAGTTTTCCTAATTGTTATGGCTTCCTCATAATGTTCTTTAACCTTTTACCTTTAGGGGACTTAGGCGGAGGCTTGTGGCATTGTGTCTCCCCGCTGTCTTCAAATTGCTTCTTCTCCCATTCTGACAGGAAGAGAGCAATTGGTCGTCACGATGAAACTTAGACACAGTGAGTTTCCTTTACCACCCCTCCCAATCCTGTGCTTTTAATGAATGTTCATAGAATTTCACAGTAACTTTTTCTTTTTTTGTTTTGAAACAGAGTCTTGCTCTGTCGCCCAGGCTGGAGTGCAATGGTGCGATCTCAGCTCACTGCAACCTCCACCTTCCGGGTTCAAGTGATTTTCCAGCCTCAGCTTCTTGAGCAACTGGGATTACAGGTGCCCACCACCACACCTGGCTAATTTTTGTAT